GTATGTGTGTGGGGTGTGTGTGTGTGCATGTGTGTGTGTATGTGTGTATGTGTATGGGGGGTGTGCGCGCACGTGTGTGTGTGCATGTGTGTGTGTATGTGCATGTGCATGTATGTGTGTGTATGTGTGTGCATGTGTGGGGTGTTGTGTATGTGCATGTGTACGTGCATGTGTGGGTGTGTGTGTGTGTGTGTGGGGGTGTGCACATGTGTGTATGTGCATGTGTGCATGTGTTTGTGTGTGTGCATGTATATGCATGTGTATGTGCATGTGTGTGTGGGGGTGTGTGTATGTGTGGGGTGTGCACATGTGTGTATGTGTATGTGTATATGCGTGTATATGCATGTGTACGTGCATGTGTGTATGCGTGTATGTATGTGTGGGGTGTGTGCACATGTGTGTATGCATGTGTGCATGTGTTTGTGTGTGTGCGTGTATATGCATGTGTGCACGCACATGTGTGTTTGTGTATGTGCATGTGTGTGTATATGCATGTGTACGTGCGTGTGTGGGTGTGGGTGTGTGCACATGTGTGTGTATGTGTGTATGTGCATGTGTGTGTACGCACACATGTGTGTATGTGTTTGTGTGCATGTGCGTGTATATGCATGTGTGTATGTGTGTATGTATGTGTGGGGTGTGTGCATGTATGTGTGGGGTGTGTGCATGTATGTGTGGGGTGTGTGCACGTGTGTGTGCATGTGTGTGTGTTTGTGTGTGTGCGTATATGCATGTGTACGTGCATGTGTGTGTGTGTTGTGTGTGTGTGTGTAGTTGCCTCCATTGCTGCTCTTCCTTTGCTGTGTATTGGGCAGGGGGCCTGGCTGCTCTGGCCCAGGGTGAGATTGAAATTTAAACCCTGCTCGTGTGGTTTGAGTCCCAAGTTTAGAAAGAGGAGGGAGAAGGAAGAGCATCAGAAAGGGGGTGAGAGACCCTTCTGGCTGGGAGGAGGCCCTGGGTAGCTGATTGTTTTGGAGTGTCACTTGATGCTCGCAGGTCTGCTGCCCGCTCCTGTCGTGGGGGTGGGCCGGTGGCAGAGATGGAGAGGGGTGCAGACCAGGAGAGTCATCAGGGCTGTGCCACCAGCGTCGGACAGTGTCCTCTAGAGGTGAGTGTTGAGAGTCTGTGCCTGGGCCCCCACTCCTTCCCCGTCTTGACTGGCCCGGGTGCAGCAGGGGGGCACTAGGACCCAGAGGCTAGCTGTGTCCCTGACAAGTCTAGAGCAGCACTAGCGCAGAGTGAGACTCATCAGCTGGCAAGCAGGATCGGTGTCTCTGGGTTCAGGAATCCTCCAGCAGCAGAGGGGACTTGCTCCTCAGCCCCTTTCTCCGTTCCCTCCCCGACCCCAGTAGGCCACCCAGTGAGGTCCATGGACGGGGGCGGGCCCCGCCTGCCGGCTTCTGTGTGTGTCCATGAGGGCCTGGAGCCCTAGCCCTCCTGCCTAGGTTTCTGCCTTTTCTCTCTGTCTTTGGTCAGCTGGGGGAGGGGGTGGAGGCCGAGTGAGCAACATGGCCCAGAGCAAGAGGCACGTGTATAGCCGGGTAAGTGGCCCTGATCTGGGGTGGCCGTGGGAGGGCTTCTGGGGAAGGCCTGGGTGCCTGTGGACAGTGCTGTGGGGGCTGGGAGACAACGCTGGAGCTCGGCCGGGGCCACTCGCAGCCCTGACGGGGTTAGACCGCATAGGCATCCCTTCCCAAAGTAGGGCCCTTTGTGGGTACTGGGGAGCCCTGACCTTTGACTCTAGCTGGACCTCGGGCCAGAGGTTCCTGGGGGGCCGGACTGTCCTGGGGATTTCAGATGGGGTCGGTGGGTTGGACTGGCCTTCTGGTGAAGCCTTTCTTTAGAGCTGCTTTGTTGCCTGTCACTTGCTCTCTTGCTCTTCTGGCCCAGATTGGCTCTGTAGCCACTGTTGTGTCCACCTCGTCCTGAGGTTTATCAGGGTCGGGACGGTGGTGACAGTCTCTGACTTTGGGGCCAGCTCTGATGTGCCTGTCAGCTCCTTTTATTTTCAGGTCTGTGAGAGCCACTCGACTGTCCCAGGTATGATGTGGCCTCTCAGAGCCCCTGGGAATGGCATCCTCGCCTTCTTGGATGAGTTCTTTGGGGAAGAGAGTTGGGGAGTGACTGGCTCTGGCAGAGCTTCCTTCTGAAGCCAAGCGGGAGCATCAGAAGGGAGCCCTGTGAGGTCTTCAGGTCCATGCTCTCACTTCTTCATGCCTCATTCTCTGTTGCAAGGCCCCTGGTTCATGGAGCTGCTGTTGCTAAAAATGGCTTAGGTGTGATTTTCTTCTAAGCCATGGGCCTATTTGGGACCTAATTTCATGTTGTCTTGTCATCACGAGTATGTCAGAAGCCGAGAGCTTCCCAAGGACAATGTTTAGTCTATTCCCTTGGCTTGTCCATTCAATTGGACCACTGGACAGAGTCGAGGGACAGTTCGCAGGACAGATCTGAGATACCAGATTTGTCTGGCCTTTATATATTTATTTATTCATAGCAAGATACTGTGAGTGAAGGATCTTCAGAGCTTATAGATAGAGTTGATTGGCCAGAGCTGAGGCCTGGAAGAAGGGAGTTAAATGGTTGAATGGGCTTGGTGAGGCATCTCGGGGTGTTGTGGTGGGCTGGGGGAGGTCAGGTCATGAAGAAGGCACAGTTGTGTGCCAGTGAAAGGGAGAGGTCTGGGAGAGCCGTGTGAACCTCAGGGAGGACAGGATTCTGCAGGAACACTCACTGATTCCCTGTCTTCCCAGCTCAGACCTCTGTCAGGCACTGGGTCGTGGGGAACCGCTGTAAACTGAGTTAGTTGCTTGAGCTTCATTCCCCTCCTAGAGGACAGTGCTCCTGAGAAAGTAGCCATGTGGAGTGACATTCACAGATCTATCAGTGAATTCTGATTTATTAAAGTTAAATATAAACTCTTAAAAGTTCTGGCAGATTCCAGGGGAGTTTGAAGAAGTTCTAGAACATAATACTGGCATTTTCCCAAAGGAAATTTGGTAGGTGTTGTGGGGGGGGTCACTAATTTGAGAATGGGGTTCAGGGAAGTGGCTTTTGGTCCTTCTTTAGGCCAGGACCGGCTTATGGTCCTTCTTTAGGCCAGGATCCTGACTGGGGCCTCTCTCGTATATTAGGATGACACCCTTAACTCCGTATGTTTGCTTGTGTCTTTCAGACTCCCAGTGGCAGCAGAATGAGTGCTGAGGCAAGTGCCCGGCCTCTGCGAGTGGGCTCCCGCGTGGAGGTGATTGGAAAAGGCCACCGTGGCACCGTGGCCTATGTTGGAGCCACCCTCTTTGCTACTGGCAAATGGGTAGGTGTGATCCTGGATGAAGCAAAAGGCAAGAATGACGGGACCGTCCAAGGCAGGAAGTACTTCACTTGCGATGAAGGACACGGCATCTTTGTGCGCCAGTCCCAGGTACTCACTGCCGGCTGCTGTGTGTGCGTGTGCCGCTGGTGTGTTGGTGCCCTTTTCCTGGGCATGCACCTAAGTCTCTGGTTGGGAGAGTGGGAGGCAACGAGGGAGGGAAGATCCAGAGCTATCCTTAGGGAATCTGCCCTGTACTCTAGGCTTGCTTAGGGCCTGAAGAGGGGCCCATGTTACCTCCAGCCTTGATCTAGCTATATTGAGTCTATTCTGTGGCCTCAGATACAGGTGTTTGAAGATGGAGCGGATACTACTTCACCAGAGACACCTGATTCTTCTGCCTCAAAGGTCCTCAGAAGAGGTAACAACCACCCACTTCAGTTGCCTCCTCACACGCAGGCGTCCCCAGGACTTCTCCCCAGAACAAGGGGCCGCAGTGGATCCTGAGATTTTCTATCACCACCATATTCTGTTGTTAACATCTTGCCTCCCCTGCCATGATGTTCTCTGCTCCTATCCGTCTACACAAACACACACTTTGTTTCTTCTTGCATTCTACAGAGGGAACTGACTCAAATCCAAAGACCAGCAAACTGGTAAGTAGTTAGGGATGGGCGTGGGGAGTGATGGAGGAAAGAGGGAAAGGAAAAGGAAAGGAGGGAGGCCATACAGGGTCTTACTCGTCTGCTGCTTCCACCTGAGGTGGTAAACTGAGTTAGCCTTTCCAAGCTCCATCCTCTCTGAGAAGGAGACTTTCTGGGTGTGAGTTGCCGCTTTAGGTGTAAAGGTGCTAGCAGGGAAAAGCTACCAATGCCCAGAAGTTCTGGATCAGTTGGAACTGAGGCTGGGGGTGAAAGGGAGGACAGGTCTGCCCCTGGTGGTGGTGTTGCCAACTTCCCACCTTTTGGTCCCCGAGGCTGCCATCATCCGGTGGGTGTAGGGTAGGGGTGAGATAAAGAATGGAGAAGGAAGGCACTCTCTGGCTCACAAGTGGAAAGGAGCTGGCCCTCTGGCACCTTTTTAGTTTGTACATGGAGGGCCCACTGTGGCCGCCCTCCGCGGCTCTGTACAGGTGTGTGAGGTGGGGCTCCCAGCTCTCCAGCACCTCCCGGCAGGGAGTGGACCTCCTGGAAGCTGATCTTGAGGGAGGCCGCCCCTCACTTACCCTGGCCTGGACAGTGACCTGCCCCTCCAATACCCGTGTTTGCCTGTGGGTCTTAATGCCTGCACCCAAGAAGTCTGACGGCTAGCACAGTGTGGTGGTTAACTCTTCTCTAACTCTGCCCTTTCAACTCCTCACGCAGCGGGGACTGAAGCCTAAGAAGGTGGTGTGTTTACTGTTTGTGCCTGGGTGGGTGAGGGCCATGCGCCCCCTCCCCAGCTGTCCTGCATGTCCTTGGGCTGCTACTTGCATGTATGTGTGACCTTGGGGCTGGGATGGCCAGAGGAAATGGCAGCCTTGGCTTTCAGAGTTCCTCTGAGGGGTGCGAGGACATCAGGCTCAGTGTCCAGGCCCAGGGGGTACGCATAGGGATGATCCTCACACCCCTGCCCATCGCCTCGGGACTTCTGGTCAGAGACTCCAAGCGTTTGACTGTGAATAGCGGCAGCATGGAAGAGCGCATCTACTGGGTTACAGAGGATCCTCACTTAGCCTGAGCTTAGGGTCAGTGGGAGGAGAGACTGGGGGTTTGGAGGTGAGGAAGGTGCCCAGGGAGGTGGTTAGGTAAGTAGGCAGGAGGTCAAGGAACCGAGCACAGAAGAGCAGGCCTGAGTGGTACCTGCCTCTGGGTGGTGTGGCCATGAATACGCACCTTTGCTCTGTTCCATCCTTCTTTCCCTGCCTCCTTCCTCTGGTGTTGTGCCCGAGGCCTACCTCCCACACCTTACAGCCTTCCATCAACCATCGTTGGGGTGCGGCTGCCACCCCTGAGACTCCTTTAGTCTGAAGTTGCTGCCATGACCGCTTCCTCACACCAGTTCATGCCTCCGGGCTGTGCCCAAGCCGTCTCTGACCTGCACGTGCCTGTCTGACCTGTATGTGCTGTGCTGTGTGTGAAGTTCTGTGATTTCCTGTCGCGCATCTGTGTCAGGACCTTCTGACTCTGCATGGAGAGCTGTTAGATGGGGCAGTGGGAGGGGAGAGTAGAACTTCTCTATTTTGATTTCTGGTTGGTAGTGGGTCCTCATGTTGGAGTCTTGCCTTGGAAGAGACAACATGATGGTATTTGCTTTGGGGTCCTGGCTTGGGAGGGAATGGGGATATAAGAAGGAAAATAATTCTCTAAAGGATGCTGGACCCATTCCAGAAGCTTGGCTTCTTCCCTTGGTTATTGGCTCCTGGTTGGGGCTCCCATCTTACATCAGACCCCAAATAGAGAAGAGCATGGACCTGCAGTCTACTGTCTATGGAGGGGTTCTGGCTGCAGTCTGACCTGACCATGGGTGGGATGTGAGCCGTGCCCAAATCTTGGTGTTTTTGGCGGCTGACTAGGGAAATGTGGCAAAACCTAGCCTAGGCTGCCTGCGCTGGGGTATGGCACCTCCTTGGCTCCTGGTGCAGAGTGTCGGTCAAGTGGTCAGTCCTTCCCTAGGTCTTTCTCTCCAGGGCTTCTCTCGCGGCACATCACTTAACTCAGGAAACAGGGAGCTAGCACCACAACAAAAGAAGGAACTTTGAGGGGCAGGGTGGAAGAGAGGACCCAGATGTCTCTGCAAGGTGCCCAGTCCTTTCTGGAAGCTCTTTAGAGACAGACTCTAACCTGCCCACAACCCAGGGAGAGGCGGGACAGGAGCCAGCTGCTGTCGTTAGAGCTGCTGCTGCCCAGATGGAATGTTCTCCGGGTTTCTTGGTGTGCCCCGCAGAGCCGATGCAGGAGTGCTGGGGGTGTGTGCGCCTGACGAGCCGCCATCAGGGCCTCAGCTGTGTGTATGAGACAGAAGTAGCGTTGACGGGGTTGTAGACCGAGGGGAGTGTGAGGATGAGAGAGGCCTGATGAAGCAGTGAGGTCCCTGTGCAGTGATACCCTGTCCTGGGGAGGAGGGGGAGGAGCCATCAGAGCCTGGTGGTTGCTAGGTGACCGAGGAGCAGTGGCTCCGCCCCTCGTGGAGCAGAGGAGGGTGGGCGCATGACGTCAGGTGGAGCTGGTGCGGCGGCCACGGAGGCTGCCGTCAGCCTAGGCTGGCGAACTAGGCCGGGTGCCTCCCGAGCGCTCTCCGGTGCCTGCCGGAGCCCGGCCGTCCCCACCGTGCACCGGTGGGGGCTTCTGCATCTGAGCTGCAGCCCTTGGCCAGCCGGGGAGCTGCCGGGCCGGGGAGCTGAGGCTGCACTGTTGGGATTTGATACACTAATCTGCTGTCTCCGCCGCCTTTCCCTCTGTTCGGCCTCTCCCCCACCCCTTGGTCTGTCCTGCCTTCTCTTTCCTCTCCTGGCTTTCTTTGGCTTTCTGCAATGATGAGACAGGCACCGACAGCCCGAAAGGTACTCTCGCTCGCTCTGGTCCTGCTGCCAGGCTGCCAGCGCGACGGCGGCCGGGGTGGGGGTGGCGGCTGATTGACTTGCTCTGTCTGGTTGGGGGACAGGATGGGGATGCAGGTGGGGGGCAGGGAGAGTGTGTGTCGCTGCCAGGCCCCACACCCTGGGCGTTTGCTCCCTAGCGTTCCTGCTTTGGGCTCTGAAAATCTGTGTTTTGGGCCTTGTACCCAGTGGCCTCACCAGCTTGAGCTTCAGGCAGCTTTTGCTGCAAACTGGCTCTGGCTGTGTTTCCTAGGACAGAATCTGGGGAAGCAGGTCCAGATGTCTTTGTGCCTCTAGCAAGCCTACCTCACTCGACCTTTGCTAGAATGACACTTGGTTGTAATACTAGCATCCCTCCTCGACTGGGGTCTGTATCAGGGGCCTTCTCTAGAACAGTTTGTGACACACAGTTATGGAGTCTTAGCCCACGGTGGTAGAGGTGGGAGTTGGTCTCCTTGGGAGACCTAGAAGAAGGGCCCAGGCCAAATCTTGTGTTTGCCAGAGCTCTGAGACCCTGGGTATCAAGAATACTGTTCTGGAGTTGGAGTTAATCATCTGTTTATCACTTTGCAATAATCTGGGGTGGCTGGTTTCAGATCTGCTGTAGGGCAGTAGTTTCCCTATGCTGCTGCCCACCCCCACCTCCTTTCTTGCAGCCGGGTGGGGTCACTTTGCTGAGCTCTGGGCTTCTGGCTAATGCAATATTCATGGCCCTGACACCTGAGCCCTCTGCCCTAGGGATGGGGAGTGCTGCAGGGATTGATCCTGGGGAGGGGGTGGGGGTGGGGCACATGGCCGCACTGTGCTCCCTTGGGGGCCTGGTCTCCCCCTGCTGGTTTCGTATCACTCACGTCCAGGCTTGTATCATCCTTCTTGTCACGTGGTATTTCTCAGGAGTCCTGTGCGGAATCTAGCACTCAAAGGAAGGGGCTGACCTGGGAAAGTCCTTGGGAGTGTGGGTGGGCGGGGCTCTGGGCTGGAGTGGGAGAGGTGGTTGTGGGAGGACTCCTCTCTGGTCTCTGGAGACCTTCTCTACCTGCTGCTGGCTTCGGTCTCCTGGCACTCGACCTGGGAGACAGGGACAGAGCTTCCAGGGTGCCCGAGGGGTGAGGCCTGCAAGGGTAGGACAAGAGTGGGAGAAGGAGCCAGGGGGAACGAGGAGTCCTGAGCTCCTGGAGTGGGAT